AAATTTACTCTGCTGTTCGAGGAAATTCATCGAATTTTTAAAAATATCTTTAATTGGGTTTGTGGTTATGATCTGTCTATGTTGTATTTGTTTAATATGTTTGAATCGAATGTCTGTTGTTTTCGCAACCCTGTATTTTTTTTGGGCGCATCTTGAAGATTGACGCCTAAACAATTGCTTTTCGTTTAGGTATTTTCTCCTGGACCCTAACCCGAAAAGTAATGGCGGTGGAAGTAGCTTCTTGGCCGCCAACGTCTTTTCGAACCGTTCTGCATCTCTTCATCGTTGTACACATACTGTTGGTGTTGCCCGTTTTCTCGGAAGCAGAAGGTAGGCCAGGAATTTGTTCATGCGCGATAGGCGTCTCGGATTTTGTCGTCATCTTCCGTTGTGTTCATTTCGTTGTGACTCACAGTTTGAAAGCGAACGAGCTAGTTCTAGCGAACAAAGGCGAGGTTTGTGTTTTCAAGTCGTAAAGTCTGGTCATGTTCAATGCTGCAGTAGAATACGGCAACCGTATGCTAGAATTCATACACCTGCGACATTGCGTAATACGTTATACAATGTGGATCATATCAGGTTTGATTCAGACGCATTCAGAAATACGTGTTTGCTTTCCTCTAATGTTCACGAAGAGAAGAAGTTGAGGAAGCTGAAGCAAAGGTAGTGAAGAAGTTTCTTGAAATTGAGCAGAACTGTAAGGAACTATCTTGGATATTTTCACCGAGTGACTCCACGGTTGATTCATATCCATTTTCTGTTGAGCCACATCAGCCAGAGGTTCTGCTTGATTCTGACCGTTTTCGACTCTCGTACAAGGAAATGAAGTAGCAGTCGATGGGGTTATACTTTTGGTTGATTATTGCAATGGATAATCAGTTATCAGATGGAGGATGTCTGATTGCTGCTACAAGCGGTGCTCGCATCGGAGATCTTGGCCGTTCGCCGTTATGGCATGACCAGACCAAAATGCTATGCTATCTCAATTAGTCGCAAGCCACAGACTTATTACCTGTTTCTTGGCTGGTTGCGCTGGAGCAACATTGGGATAATCCGTTGCTCAAGAAAATTCGTGGTTATGACAAGGACTGCCTTTATGCAGATTCCAACCCAGATTCCGTGGAGTAAAGCCAACCGCTGTTACTGCGCCTCAAAGCCTCCTTCGATCTGTCGATTCTTAGTTTTTATTCAGCAGATTTACTTTTTTATTGAAGTAAGCGATCTGTGCAGAAACATGCACATACACATTGTTTCATACCATTTATTCACATGGTTCAGATCTCTACAACTTGAATGTCATCCACAAGGTTGAAGAGTTAGATATGTAGTCTCTTTATGCGGCTCTTCTTTGCTCAATGTCGTGTCTGAAATATTCTTACTGCTATGATTCTTATGGAAACCACAAACTTCACACGACACGTTTAATGTATCGATTATGCAGAGTTTCTTAAGCGCCTACGGTCTTTTCGGCAGATACTGTTCTTCCATTACGACTACGCTGTTTTTACGGCAGTTGTACAACTTTTTGTATTGCTGCTGCAATTCTATTTATGTTTGTACGTTAGAATGCTTCCAGAAAGGAAGACGAAACCTGTACCATATACTTAATCGATCGACTGAAGACCCCGGGATGGCGAAGAATAACTTTGGGAAAGTGTAGGGAACGACTGCTTCTAACTGGGTTTATCTTCTACCGAAGCTGAAAGCCTGACACAGGATCTGAAACGTTGGAGACATTGTCTGCCTCCGGGACCCGAAGAGATTAGCGGTCATCGAAACTAACTGAATAACGGGCAGTAGAATTAAATTAATATTGACAGCTTTCTAATATTTCTTCATTTATCCGAATTAGAGGCGTCCTATCTGTCTTACATCCGACTTGTTGGCAAAGTGTCTAAGAGTGCTTCGAATTCTAGATGTGCGGGGTTGGATTGCGCTTGAGGGCAAATCTATGTCTTATTCACGAATTCCCTTGAACAATGAATTTTGCACACATGCTTCAGACCGGGTTTGTCCAGTCGATAGAATGTCGAATTCAGAATCGTTAGCTTCTGACTTCAAACCCTGGTATGGGTCACTCGCCTTTGTTCCCTTGAAGCTTGATGAATAACTACATCTCTGCTGGAAGGAAACATAAGGCCACATGGTTGTAGACTTTAAACTATAAAATACTATACTCCTGATTGATAGCATAGATGTCGAAATCAGCATCGCACCATCAACTGCATAAAAAAGTTGCCAGAATGGCCCAGTCATGAAAGTGATGGAAGACCGACATTCGGACACTGACAAACTTACCTTTCTTCTTTTCTTGTGGTAAAAATTCTGTTAATTTTGAACAGGATGGACGATGATGACACTTTTTTTAGGCATGGAACTTAAAATGAAATCTCAGGAAAAATGGCTCACATCTCGTTTCCTCAAAAACTTTCAGATATGTTTCTTAGGATATTCTAGGGAAGAAAGGAACGGTGACTAGGTAGTTAGAACACTGGTTAACATGAGCCTTGCGTTGGATGATTAAGTACAGAATTTATTAAATGGGAAGCACGGACTTTGTTTATCGACGCGATGGGAAGCGTATATGTACTAGAAGTACCTCAAGTATTCTTAGTGTACTCTACTCTACAGTGACTGCGCTGCCTACCCTTCATGTTAATGCTGACTGCATTATCACTGCTGGTATTAGCGTAAATATACATGTTCCAATTCTCATAGTAACATTAGCACATTAGTAGCCGCATTTGAGTTGCTATATCAGTATTAATACTATTGTTGGTAGCGTTTATATGACCGCTGTTTTATGTAAGTACACTACTGTAAATCTAGGATTGCACATAACTCTTCTGAGACGAGATTGCACGATGAATTACGTTGCTCCTTACTCCTAATTGCCTTTGGGGCATTTAAACAGGCCAAAATTCCATGGTACTTTACTACCTGCAATTTTTTCGCTAGACTTACCTCACGTTCATTACGAAAAATTTTTCAAATACTGATACTCCATGATGCAGCTGCATGAAAATCAACATATGGTCGTACGCCGAAGTATATCATGTAATACATAACTCCTCCAAGACCAGATTGTGTTTCACTTCATTCCAAAACTATGTGATATTAACGTTAATGATAATTGTGCCAACACTGTCACCATGAGTATGAACAGGAGTGTACCAATTGGTGGTTCTGAAAGTAGAACTGTAAGGCTGTCGATCAACCGCTCG